AAGAAGGGGGGGGTCTGGGGAAGCAGGGCGCGCGCCGGCGGGCGTGCGGGCCCGGCGCCCGCCCCCGGCAGGCGCAAACGGCCCACGGCGAGTACGGCGCCATCAACTACTCCCTGTCGGGCCCGGAGCACGGCGAGGCGCGGGCCCCCCCGGGCTGCGGCAGGCCCGCGTCGTGTCGAGCGCCGGTGCAGAATCCCCTCCCCATGGGATCCGGGCGCTGTGATTTTTTCTGTCTGCTGCGGGCGTCCTCGCTCCCTTTCGGGCCCCAGGGCCCTCGCGGATCGCTCGATCCGTCTCGAAGAATGACGCCGAAGGACGGGGTCCGGGGCTCGGTCGCGAGTTTTTGCGGCGCTGTATCCTTGTCTGCAGCGTGGGCTCGCGTGGTCGGGTCGTGCAGAACGACGCGTACTCGGTATCGAGCAGGATAGGTCGAGTTGGTTTTTGACCATCTCTTGCTCTTGGGCTTTCCCATGTTCTTTGACTCCGGCCGGGCTTCGCCCTAGGCTTATGTCGGGCGTGTCCCCCTACAGGGGGATTTTCGAAAAATAAAGAATACCCCACAAATACCCTAAGAAGGTCAAACAATACTCAAAAAATAGTCCCCAGACTATTTTAGATTATTTTGTTTGACTATTTTTGGGGTATTTTTAATTTTTCGGCGAAAATCCCCCTGTAGGGGGACAGGCCCGACTTAACCCTAGGCGATTCTTGGCCGGTCTCTGTTTCACCGTAGGCTATTTCCTCGGCCTGCGGCCGAGGGCGTCGAGGCATCGTGCAGCCTGTCGCCAGCAGCCACAACAGGCGTGCAAGACTCACGAGGGGAGACTTTTGGCAGCTCTCGGACTCCAGGATCCGTCGGTTGCAGCAGTCCCCAGAGACTCAGACCCCCGACGTCGTGATCTTCTCGCAGCGTCGACCCCTAGAGGTCTCGACCCGTTTCCCTGGACTGGGTTTTCATCCCGAGCCGTTTTTGCTGGCGGTCCCGAGGGCCGAGGGCCCCCGAAAGGCCAGAAGACAGCAAAACACCTCCCGTCGTGATTTCTTCACAGCGAGAGGAGGAGGAGCAGGAGCAGGAGCAGGAGGAGGAGGAGGAGGAGGAGGAGGAGGAGGAGGAGGAGGAGGAGGGAGAGGAATAATAATAATAACAGTAATAATATCAATACTAATAATATTAATTCTAGTAAGAGACTAATACTACAATCGTAATATCAAGAAGAAAAGTAATACGATGAATGCTAACACTAATGTGAAGCATAAGACTAATCATCATATTAATACGAATTATAATGACCAGAAGAACAACAATAGTACTAAGAGCAATAGTAAGACGAATCAACATAAAAATACTAACAAACATAATACTAATAAGAAGATTACTGATAATACTAAGACTAATAGCAATAAACAGAAGACTACTAATAATAACAATAGTACTACTACTGTTAAGACTAAGAAGAATAATGTTAATAATAATATTGACACTAATAAGAATAATACTAAGAAGCAAAAGGGGAATAAGAGGAGGAGGAGGGGCCTAGGAAGACTCAGACCCCCTCTCGCCCGGGGCCGCCAGCCGCCAGAAACGACTCGGGATGACATGCCAGTCTCTGGGAATGAGTCGAGACTTTTGAGGGTCGTCGTTATCACAGAACCCATGACGTCGGGGGTCTGGGTTCGTGTCGTGTCAACGCGGCGGCGACCCCAGCTCGGGCGTTCAAGTTCGAACGCCGTTAGTGGCCCAGAATCGGCCAAGATGGAACGATCCTGCGATCGGAAAGCGGCAGGTCGTTCGAGGTGGAACGGTCCACGCATTGTCAGAGACCGACGCGCCGAAGTCGTCTCGACACGAACCTGGCGTCAGGGGGAAGGGGGCTGGCCCCAGCTGCCTCGCACCTTCGTGCGGCGCTGCGGCAGGCAGGGCTCCCGTGGGAAGAGGGCACTCCGCGCAGCGCCACCGCCCCCCGGCGGCGGCCGGACTCGGAGGGCGACGACGACGATGAGGACGCGAGCGCAGAGGGGGGCACGAGCGACGAGGCGGCCGGGGAGAGGGCGGCAGTCCGCGCCCCTCCTCTGCCTCGCGCCGGGGGGCCTTCGCGCCGCCGGGGCGGCGAGGACTCTGCTGGCCCCAGCCGGCGAGGCCCCCGCCGCCGCAAGCCACGGGCTTCTGGGGGCAGAGTTCAGGAGGGGAAAAAACACACAGACACAATGAATCGTCGATCCCCAGGAGAAGATGCGAAAATAGGGGCAGTGGGGGGGAAGACAGAAACGCAGCAAGTGCGGTAAAATATGGAGGCTATCTTTATTTGTGTGTATTTGTTTGTGTGTTCTGGGGCCCCTGTCAGAGCGCTCCCCCGAGGCGCGGCAGAGAGGAGGCGAGAGGCCCCCGCCAGGGCCGACCTTGGCCGGGCCGCTCCCGCCGCGGGCCCGCGCACCTCCGGGGCGGTGTGGCCTCCTTGGCCCCGGCGCTCTTCCTCGAGGCCTCGGCCCCTGGGGGCCCACGACCGAGCCCTGGGGGCCATCAAGAATGGGCTTTTGAGGGCAGAGCGCTCCCTCTCGGCCCCTCGGGGCCCACGACCGAGCCCAGGGGGCCATCAAGAATGGGCTTCTGAGGGCAGCGCGCTCCCCCGAGGCGCGGCAGAGAGGAGGCGAGAGGCCCCCCGCCCAGGCGGCGCGCCAGGGCCGACCCTGGCCGGGCCGCTCCTCCCGCCGCGGGCCCGCGCCTCTCCGGCGGTGTGGCCTCCTTGGCCCCGGCGTGCTTCCTCGAGAGCTCGGCCCCTCACCAGCCTCGAACAGATCCCTATCTCCTCCTCCCCCTCCCCCTCCTCCTCCTCCTCCTCCTCCTCCTCCTCCTCCTCCTCCTCCTCCTCCTCCTCCTCCTCTCGATCCTCGATGCGGGCCGCCCCAGGGTCCCCGCCCCGCCGCGCGCGGCCCCCCCGGGGAGGAGACGCGCCAGAAGGCGATGACACTCTCAGGGATGCGCCCCGAAGAACGAAGGGCATCCCTAGGATTGGCACTGGTGATGCGGCGATGCCCAGCTTAGGGACAAGGATTTGTTCCAGGCTGGTAGGCCCCCGGGGGCCCACGACCGAGCCCGGGGGCCATCGAGAAGGGGCTGGGGACGGAACGCCGCCGCCAGGGCAGGGCGTCGGGACCTCCCCAGAGATCCAGCGTATGGAAAAAATCAAGACGGAGGTTTTTCAGATTTTTCGGCCTCGTGGGGCCCTCGCCGGGCCTCGGGACCGTCAAAAAACGATTCAGGATGAAAAACCGGTCCTGGGGAATGGGTCGAGGCTTCCGGGGACCGCGTATTGAAAAAATCACGACGTCGGATCTCTGGGGGGCGAGTGCTCGGGTCGGGGCCGGCCAAGAGGGGGCTGATGACTAGGGGGGCGTGGATATCATTGCTCGGAAACTGGAGCATATACATTACCAGTGGCGGGTTGTTTTTCATCAGTCCCACGACTTTTTGAGGGTCGGGGACGACGTCGGGGCGTGGATATCATGGCTGGGGCCATGAGATCTCCCCGGACTTCATTCGGCGGCGACCGAGGGAGGGAAGTGAGAAGGGGCGGGCCTTCTCAGCAGGCTCAGAAGTCCCTCGGCCTTCTGAGAGGTGCCCTCAGACTTCCCGGAAGACGCAGCAAACTCCTGAGAAGGGCGCGGGCTTCTGAGAAGTCCCGTCGCCTTCTGAGAAGGCCTTCTCCTTCTCACTTCCCCCCTCGCTCGCCGCCGATTCATGCCCCCTCTACAGTCGGGGCGCTGAGGAAGGAACCCTTTTCGTTTGGGAGGGGCTCCGTGTTCCTCGGTTGTTCTACAGTCTACCTTAGGTTTTCCTCTGGTTCTCGATGGGGAATCGAAATCAAACTTATGGGCAAAAGGGGCCTCGTTCCTGAATTATCGTTCGTCAGGTCAACGCTCCAACTGTACCTCTTGTTTCGAAGCTTCCCCTGCCAACGCCCTGGGCCGCGCACGTGCCTCCTGCCATGATTCGCGAGCACCTCCCCTCTTGGACGCCCCCCTCTCTCGGACGCCCCCCGATCGGGGCCGCTGCCGGGTGCTCGGGTGGACCCAGACCCCCTCGCGGTAAGTCGGGCCTGTCCTCCTGCAGGGGGATTCTGGAGGAGTTATACGAAGTATTCAAGACATGCCCCCCGAATGGCTAGCAAAAGCAGCCCCCAGACTATTTTTAGACTATCTTCTGATTACTTTTGGGGTACTTGCAATTCTTCGTCGAAAATCCCCCCTGCAGAGGGACCGGCCCGACTTCACCCTCGCGCCGTGCAACAACGCGCGGCGGGCGGCTGTCGTAGCATCGGCCCCCTCGGTCTCTCTGGGGTCAGGAGGGAAAGAAACACACAGACACAATTAATCGTCGATTCCCCAGAAAATATAGGAAAATATGGGAATTGGGCGGGAAGACAAAAACCCAGAAAATATAGGAAAATATGGGGAATCATTTTATTTGTGTGTATTTATTTGTGTGTCCTGGGGCCCCTTGATGGGGGGCCCCCGCCTCGCCCGGGGACCGCGGACAAACATCGACCCAAGGATGAAGAGCGCCCCGGGGAAGGGGTCGAGACCCTCTGGGGGTCGACGTTATGACGAAATCATGGAGTCGGGTCGACTGATCTGCCTCGGCCGTTGGCCCGAGCAGGCCGTTGGCCCGAGCAGGCCTGAGCAGACCCTCTGGGGTTCGACGCTCTCCGGGGAACAAAAAGTGGCATAAACATAAAAACTCGGAGGTCCGCGCGGATTTCTCGGATTCGCGCTGGACCCCCCTCGCGGCGCCTCCGGCGCCGCCCCTGGCGCGCTCCGCGCGCCAGGGAGGGGGGTCCAGCGCCGATGCGAGAAATCCGCGCGGACCTCCGAGTTGTTATGTTTATGTCACTTTTTGTTCCCCTAGTTCTGAACAAATCATGAAGTCGGGTCGACCGATCTGCCTCGGCCGTTGGCCTGAGCAGGCCCGGTCGGCGACCCCACGTCGCGGCCACCTGAGCAGCCGTGCCCCGACCCTGAGATCCAGGCGTTGGGGCGTCTCCGCCCAGCTTCGGGCCCAGGGGCTGACTATCGCATATCGGTTGGGTTCGAAGGCTGCAGCAGAGAGAGGGGGTCGAGGGCTCCAGTTGTGAGTTCTGGCGATGTTTCAATTCTTGACCTTCGCTCATCCCCACCAGCCCTGCTTTTGCTAGGTAATTTCGGACCTCGCGCGGCCCGCTCGGACCTTGACACGCCGTCGGCGCGCTCGCCTGCGGCTGGCAACAAAAAATCCCCGCCAGCCCATCCCACAATAGTGAGCAGGCGAATGCCCTGGGATGTGTAGCAGCATGCTGCCCCCTTGGGAGACGACGACAACGACGACAACGACGACGATGACGGCGACGACGGCTGCGGCGACGGCGACGACGGCGACGACGGCTGCGGCGACGACGCCGACGACGACGAGGACGACGACGACGACAACGACGACGACAACGCCGACAACGACGACGACCGCGACGACGACGACGGCGGCCGACGGCGACGACGGCAACGATGACGACGGCGACCACGACGACGGCAGGAATCAACCGTCAAAGCCTTTGCGGGTCTTTGGCTCTAGGTTCCTGTGGTATGCCTCTTGGGGTCATCTTTGAACCATTTTGGGGCCATTTTGGAAGAATTGCGGTGTTCTTGGAGCGCTCCTTGGGGTCTCCTGGGTCCCTCGTGAGACCCACGGGGGTTTCTTGGGCCTCTCTTGGGAGACTCGGAGGCCTTTTTGGGGCCATCTGGGAAGCTATCGGTCAAAATGTGGGGGGGTCCCAAGAATGCCCCCCTCCCCCTCCCCCTCCCCGTCAGATCCTTCAAAATAGCCCCTTGAGGCGCTCGTGGGGCGCTCTTGAGACGGCCTTTGGCGCTGTTGGGGCGGTCTTGGGCCCTTCTTGGGCCCCTCTTGGGTCCCTCTTGAGGCCCTCTTGGGCCATCTTGTAGCCATTCCGAGGCCTCAAGAGCCCGTTGGAAGCGATCTAGCGAGAAATCAATCGGTCTTGAAGCCTTGTAGGCATGTTGGAAGCTAGGTTGAACCATCTTGGGCTATCTTGAGCGAACTTGGAAGCCATTTTGGGCTCTCAGGGGCCCTCTTGAAGCTGTCTTGGGCCATCTTGCCCCTCGCGGAACGCCCCCTCCAGACCCGGAGGGTTGGGGGCAGGGGTGTGAGGGGGACCAGGGGGTTGGCAGAGCGATCTCGTTGGACCACCCACCCCCTCGGGGGCCGGTGGGATTTTTTTGGCGAGGTCGGTTCTCAGGGGCTGCCGTCGTGTCTTCGGGTGCAGAGCGCCGCCTCCGACCCGCCGGAGGTGGTCGTCTGCCTGCACGGCCTCAACGGCTCCCGCCTGCTCTTCCACGAGCTCTCCGCGGCGCTGACGGCCGCCCAGTACCGGGTGCTCTGCTTCGACCTGTACGGAGGGGTGCGGAGCGGGGGGGAGGAGCGCGGGCAGCGTACCTCGGATCGGCTGTCCACGCAGGAAGGGTCAAAGCTGCAAGGGCCAGGGTCGAGTCCCGGTCGGGCTCGCCGGTCGACAGCGGCCAGTGCGGGGGGAGGGGACGCGTGGGAGCAGACGCGGTCGGGGACGCCAGCTATACACCGGCACCCGTGAGGAGAGCCGTTGAGGCCGTTCAGGCAGACGACCGCCTCTGGCGGGAGTGGCGGTGGCGCTTGTCTCCCGAACGCCTGGCGGCAGCCCCGAACACTCGTTCGTTGTGGCACTCTTTGTTCTCTTTTCTAAAAAGAGAATAGACTCTACCCCCCCCTGGAGTTATCGCTTCCCCATGGGATAATATTATTTCATATATATATATATATATATATATATATATATTATGCACACTCGTCCATCCTAAATATGAAATCGTACCATCCCAGCTAGGCCGGGTTCCCCCCCTGAGGTTCTATTGTAAAACACACATTCTGCGGTGACATTTTTTGTTCTATAACTATTTTACACGAATCCCTTGCAACAAATGAGACGAAATGCGCACGCGCGCGTCGTCGCGCGCGCATGCCGAAATCCTTCAAAAACCTTCGGTGCGGGAAGGATTCCAATCGAGTTTCCAAAACACATACAAAACACAGGGTTTCGCAACACAGAGTTGCTAAAAAAGCTTCCGCGAAAGCTCTTGCGAAATCTTAAGAAAACCATTTTTCTCAAGACTTTCACAAAATGCTACCAAAAGGGCTTCGCTCGCGCTCATGTCGAAATCTGTCGAACGCCCTTGCGCGTGTGCCGTCGCGAGAATCCCCTGCAAAAAAAGGGACGAAGTGCAGACGCGCGCGTCGTCGCGCGCGTACGCCGAAATCCTTCAAAACCCATAGGTTTCGGCAGGATTTCAAAATCGTGTGTCCAAAAAACCTACAAACAACACAAGGTTTCGCAACACGGATTTTCAACAAAAGCGTGCGCGCGCGCTCTTGCGTCGTCGTTGTCGTCGTCGCCGTCCTCCCTCCTCCCGCGTCGTTGTCGTCGT